CCTGCCCGTCTCCCCCAGTGGGCGGCAGCCAGAACCTGCGGGCGTACTGGCAGCACTACCTGAGCGAGGCCCACGTGCTGGTGTTCGTGGTGGACTCGGTGGACAGGTCGCGCCTGCTGACGGCGCGCCAGGAGCTGCATGCACTGCTGGCCGCGGAGCCCCTGGTCGTGCTGGCCAACAAGCAGGTGGGTGTCTGTCCATCCGTCGGTCCCTGCAGCTGCCCCTGGGGCTGTTTCCAGCAAAACTGTCCCTCCCCAGGGCTCTGAGGGGAAATCCTGATCCCCAAAATCCACCAGCTCTAGCAAAATCTAATTTCTTGGGGCTTGTCTCCTCCAGTCTTCATCAGGAGGTGCGGCTGCTGTTTTAGGCTAACGAGTGTCAGAGCATGCAAAATCCCCAAGGGGAAATCCGTTCCTCAGGCAGGTGACCAAGCGCGTGCCTGGTGCCGCTTCCCATTAGCTTCTGCCAAAGTGACTCCAGCGCAAGAGCGAGGCAGCCCTGCCTGTACATGATCCCTGCCAGGACAGGGCTCCTGCCAGCCAGCAGCGTGGCTCCAGGCGCTGGTCCCCTTCTGCGCAGCCGCCTCTCTCCCTTGCAGGACAAGAGCAATGCCCTGAGCATGGCGGAGCTGCGGGAGGAGCTGGCCCTGCACATGCTCAGCGAGCAGCGGGAGCTCTTCCTCCTGCCCACCAGCGCGACCTGGGCCAGCCTGAGCAGTGCCACCAGCGTCCTCCACGTGAAGAGCCTGCTGGTCACCCTGCTGTCCCAGCCCTGAGCCCGCGCAGGGGGCAGGCCCCAGCACAGCTCCTCTCCGGGATGCACAGCACGCGGATGGAGGTGGCTGGCGGGGGAGCCCTGGGGCTTGGACTGGCTGGTAGCAGGCTGCTGGCCCTGGGGCATTTACTGCACCCCACGAGGTTTGGGGTTGGGCTGCAGCAGGGCTGTCCTGGATGAAAATGAGCAGCGGGCTCTGCTCTCTGCCGCGGGGAAAGGGCAGCTGCTTCCCCCAGTTCAGGGGTGAAATCTCCCTTGGGATGGAGGCACAAGCAGAGCTCTTACCTCCTGATGAGAGGGAATGTGCAGCACAGGGCAGGGCCCCCACCTTCACAGCAGCCCTGCGGGATGTTAAATGAATGGGGCTGAACAAGCGATGGATCCCCCTCAGCCCCCGGCAGACAGCTCATCCCAGGAGATGGGCTCTCCTTCCTGAAAAACACGAGTTACTGCTGGCGCAGCCCTGCCTGCACGACCCACAGCAGCGGCAATAACCAGCTCGGGCTGGCCCTCAGCGGGGCTGAGCACGGCTCTCGATTCCCTCAATTTAAACACAGCTCTGCGTTTAAAGCCCTGTTCGAGGGAGATGAAGGCAGGTATTGGACAGCCCTGAGCTGCCCTTCGCCCTGAACAGAGGTAAAGACGGGCTGGTTGGCAGGAGCTGTGCTCAGCAGGCATTTGCTCCCCCCCCGGCCTGGTCTCCCTCCCTCTCAGCTGCCCCAGGGAGAAGAGGAAGGAGCTGGGCTCAGGGAGTGGCCAGAAGAGCTGCTGGGTCAGGCCATGGGGCGCTGGGTCCTGGAAACCAGATGGTGGAAGGTGGGGAGCACATTGGGGAAAGGGAGTACATGCTGGCCAGTCTCTTCTGCCAAACCTTTTGTACAGTCACTTCTCTTTGTCAATAAAAGAGGCTGATCACTCTGTGCTGCCCTGCAGCTCCTTGTCAGGGAAGGCGCCCCCAGCTCCATCTTCCGAGCTGGAGGCAGGAAGGTCGCTCAGGGAGGAAGGAAGCAGCACATGGCTCCACTCCAGCCTCTGCTTACAGGGAAACCAGCAAAGGCACAAGTGCTGCCCACATCCCACAGACCCCCAGCCCCATCGCTGCAGGGAGTGACACACAGCTCGTGCCCGTGTCCTGTGGATCAGCACTAGGAGCTCCCCAGAGTCGGACTGAACCAAGTGAGAGCCCATGAGCAATGCATTCACACCAGCCTGAAAAGAGTAATTTATTTTAACAAGGCAAAAGAAGTGCTGACTGCCACACAGAAAGGGAGCAGCACAGCACATCCAGTCCCAACGCCACAAGCCACAGCCAAGAGTCTTCTTGTGCCTGGTTATAACTGACTAGCTGTAATGAAGGTCCTTCCTCCATCGCCAGAGGTTTTTGCAGCTCAACTTGCTGGCACTGAGCCTGTGACTGTCACCTGTCTCTCAGTCCCCGCTCGGTTCAGAGAATGGTCACATCAAGCCTGCACTTGCAGGCAAACCTGACGAAAAGGGCAGTCATTGCACATCCATCTTTTCCTGCTTGAGTGATGCAATGAACTCCTTGTACTCCTCTGGATAGAAATTCTTGTACACATTGATCTTTCTCTTAATCTGTTTGGGAGTATCTTGATAGTAGTTCTTCTCATCTCGAGCCATTTCCTGTGACAAAGGAGATAATAAATCAGAGGTGTGGCCCCAAGAGCAAACACAAAACCAGCCCAGCCACGCTCCAAAGGCCCACCCAGGCAGGCTGTGATCACTGCCTGACTCAGACAGGAATCTGGACAAGGTTCAAAGCACTGCTTCCCCTTAACAATCAGCTGACTACAGAACAGGATCCAGGACAGAAAGGATTAGTGATTCCCATCCTGCAGAAGAGCCAGGAGTGAATCGCTCCGGGTGCTCCTCGTTCTGGGACAGCCCGTACTCACCTTGTAGTTCTCTCCGTGGTTCTGTATCATGTACCGCACGTAGTCAATGAGGTCTCGTGAGAGCGTGTTTGACTTCTTCTCGGGGAGACTGGCCTCGTATTCCATCTCTAGGCAGAGGACAGAGACACTGTGTCACGGTTTGACCCAGCCAACAGCAGCAAACACCAGACAGCCGCTCACTCACCCTCCCCCCTCCTGGGAATGGGGGTGAGAATTAAAGGGGTAAAGGGAAAGGAGACTCATAGGTTGAAAGAACAACAATTTAATAACGAAAGTACAATAAAATTGAAAATAATAATGATAGTAATAATATACAAATGAGTGATCCACAGTGTAACTGCACACCACCCAATGACCAAGGCTCAGCCTGTTCCTGGCTAACGATCCCAGAGCAAGGAGAGTCCCAAAACCGCAATCCCAGAAAAGAGAGATGAGTCCAAGAGAGAGAATGAGAGCTTCCAGACAGACCCTCATAATATATTGGGCATGGCATGAATATACCATTGGCCAATTTGGGCCTCAATCCTAAACCTGAACTCAAATACTAAGCCAGTAATTGGGGCTGTGCTCCCTCCCAGCTTCTCCTGCACCTGCACACCAGCAAAGCCTGGGGAGTTGAAAAGTCCTTGACTGTCCTGGCAGCAACCCAAAACATCGTTATCAACCGCCTTCTCAGCACAAATCCAAAACATACCTTCATCCTAGCTACCAAGAAGACAATTAACTCTGTCCCAACCAAAACCAGGACACACCGTGAGGCAGGCAGGGGAGGGAAGCAAGCAGCACCTGAGGCCCCCAGCCTCCTCCCAGCATCGAGCCCTGCCAGTACTGCAGAAAAGGAGGTGGCTCCTGCAGCACAGCTCAGCTGCTCGCACACAAGGGGCTGCTTCTCAGCACAACTGTCCAAGAAAATGAACAGGACAAAAGCTCTCCACACAGGCTGCAGGCATCCAGGCCTGCACTGTGCCTCCTCTCCAGCTCACCCTACGAGGAGTGGAGCCTTTCTGCCCAGGCTGCCGAGTGTGACTGCTCAGAGCTGCCCAGCCCACCACTAAAACACGCAGGGTACTGCAGCCACCATTTCTTGTCACCCTGGTGCCTCACACCAGCACACTCCAGAGTGACAAGAGCCCTCTTGGGGCTGCAGGTAGAAATACTGCAAAAAAGGCAACACATGAGGGAAAAGGAAATTCATGAGACAGAGGACACACCGGAATGGCAGAGTTGCTGTCCTGGCTCCTGGCTCAGCTCTGGCCCAGCTGGGAGCCCCCAGCTGACTGCTGCCAGGGGGTACCGCTCTACAAGCCCACAAGCCTGGACAAGAAGTGACACACTTCCCTGCCCCTGGCACAGCACAACTAAGGAAAATCTGGCAGCACAGGGATGAGATAAAATAACCCACAGGGCGTTGGGAGAACCCCAAA